GGCTCTGGGAGGGGGCTACAGGGGGGCTATGGCGAAATTTGGGGTGGCTGCAGCCCCTCCCACTGCCACTGCCGCTCACCTCGAGCACAGCATAGCACGGCCACTGGTCCCAGCTGCAGCCCACCCTGCCCTGCCTCTCCCTGCGCAGATCTGGGAGCACAGGCCCCCCTGTGCCCTCCCGGAGAAGCGGTGGGAGCAGCAGCTGGAGGTGCCCCACACCCCCTGGTATGAGCTGCTGCTCTGTCCCGCACCCACCCCACCCCAGCTGGGCAGTGCCTACCCCAGCTTCAGCCCCACTCCCTCCCTCACCATGGTGGGGGGTGTTGATCTGCCCCCCATTCCCCCTCTCCTTCCACCACACCAGACTTACCAGCTGGAGTCAGCTCTCCAAGCTGCTGGACTGTGCTGCTCGCTGCCTGTGTGCTGCACTGCGGCTGCTTGCATGAGCATTTATTGGCCAAATTATCGGCCATTTCAGGCTGATTTCCGATATAGCCAATTTTCTTTATATTAGTGCTCATCCGATACTGGACTGATGTATCGGTGCACCTCTACAAACAGTGCATTTCTACTGACAGTGATAAGGAAAAAGCCAAGCAACGGAAAAGTGCAGTGTGACAAAGATGTCCCAGCGTTCATCTGTGGCTTGCTTTGGTAGGCTGTGTATTGGGATGTCATAACAATCCTTTCTTCAGCCTTTGTTAGCAAGGAATTGGTTTCTGGAACAGAGTTCTGGGGGAAAGTGTAGCCCCAAACTCCCTTCTGTGATTATGGCTCTTTTTCTTTGCGTGCAGAGAGAGCTGCATTCTTCCTTCTGCTGAGGACACTCTGTACCAGGAGCAGATGGGCTAAAGTGTGGGTGAATTCCCACAGTACAGGGGAATCTGGCTTCACACATCAGCCAATCCCCTCAATCCCTGGATTGGGGCAAGGAACATTTCCTGTTCTTGTTTTCTGATATGAGGCATTTCCTATTCTTGTTTTCTGGCTACATTACTGTAGGCAGCAGGTCCCCAAGAGCTATGGTGTTTGGCTTTTTTATTGCCTGCTGGCCATGACAGAGCTCAGGTTTGTGATGATTTCTGCTGCCTGTGGCTAGATCTAGTGTGTGCATTTCTTGCTGCACCTGCCTTTCCTAGCAGCACTGGAGTCAGCATTGCAGCATGTTTGTACTGCTGGAATCAGGTCATGGTGCTATACTGCAATGGAGATCACAACACCCACTCTTGATTCCCTTTGCAGGTTCTCTGATGCTGGAGGCAGCGCTTCTCAAGAACAAACAGGTTCTAGTTCATCATCCAGAAAGTCTGGGATTTCCATGCCTGAGGGAACCTCGGGGGCTTTTTACTTTTCCCACCTCAGGAACTCTCCTTCAGGCACCACAGTGGCCAATTGAGTGTGAAGTCATCAAGGAACAAATCCAGCACATTGGTAATCTGGCCCTTGCATACTGTTACTATTGCATGTCATGCAGAAAAAGTCTGGTGGTTTGTGGTGAAATTTACCAGTGTGGTAAGGTCCCTGAGCTTTACCTGCACAAAATCAGGACCCCCCCACAAAATGGGGGAACTGTAAAGTCACATTCCTGGAGTCACATAATTACAAGAAAATCCTGACTTCCTTTCTCAAAAAAGGTGTTTCCAGCACTTGCAGGTGCTGAGAAAATCTTGGAAACATGACCTCTTAGGGCTTTACTGCCAGGTGTCATATACAAAGGCTGACATAGTTTAACATCTGATTTTTAAAACAACTTCATGACCTTTGGGCACCTGACTTCAGTGTTACTCCTCTTATTGCCTAAATACATGGAATGGAGTTCTCAAGAAAATCTCAGTCCATTCTCTGCCTGAGCTCCATGGCAATAGCTTTTAATAGGTGGGGGGTTGAGGGGATGCTGCAGGAGAACCTGTGGAATGGTCAGTTTTATTAATGTCTATAGTAGATTTTAATGTTAAACCAGGAGGTGCAGTCTTAAGCTTTTTCCCCATAACTAAATATACTGGATTTCATAGATGGTTTCCTTCAGAGCAGCTTGCTACATTTTACTGCCATTTCCCTTGATATTCCAACTAAAATTTCCCCTTATGCTTTTCACCCCATTACTGGGGTGAGAAGCCTACGTCTTACTCCATAGTGTTTCCCTCTCCTTGATAATCACACCCATCAGACAGTTAAAGTGCACTGTACCAGAAGTTTTGTTTTGCTGTTGCTCTTCTCTGACCCTCACAACTCTAGTTTAACAGTCCCATCTTGGTAACCTGATGTCTAGAGATCAGTGCTCTTTTCTAGCTATAGTCATAGCAGTTTTGCACACAGCATGCTGTGCTGTACTGCTTCAACAGGTGGCAGAGGCCAGCAGAGATATTGCAGGACTAGACACCAGGATTTTATTTCTCCTTTGCACTGAATAGTCTCTGTAGCACTTGGAGATTTGTTTTTAGCTGTAGGTAGTGTAAGGGATCCATAACCCTGTTACTCAAGTAGACAGAGTGCAGTGCTGCAGAGGACAAGCTATAGAATATAGAGAATGGGCTATGTGGGCACGTCCCCATGAGCAAGGAATATGCATTTCCACGAGGACAAGTAGCAGCGGCACAGCTTGTGCCGCTGCTACTTGTCCCCAGGGAATGAATGCCTGTACCATGTGTGCTGTGGCATGTGATATGTTACTCTGGGTGGGGTAGGGGAGGCTGAACCCAGTAACTGTGTTGGTCCCAGCAGCCTCGCCTGGGGCCTGGGAGCCTCTGGGAACTGCAACCTTGGCAGGCCTGCAGCAGGGAGCCTGGCTGGCAGCTAGAGCATGGCTCCAACTGGCCAGGCTCTGGTTTTGGTAGGCATGTACTGCTGCCACGTGCACTGCCCTGCTTTTTTTAGGCATGTTTTTTTTTTTTACCCTGGGATCTCTCAGGGTCAAAACCCCACAGCATGCTGCAAAGTAGCAGTGCAGGAAATGCAGCATGTGCAGTGTGCAACACTGCAGACAGATCTGCAGTGCCACATACCACACATCCGCGCGTGTCTGGATGCATGCCATGAGTGCAGGCTACAGAGCAGTAAGCCAGCACATGGCTAATGAAGAGGCCTGTGTCCTGTTAGGCAGAGGCGGGCAATTATTTTGGGCGGAGGGCTGCTTACTGAGTTTTGGCAAGCCATCGAGGGCCACATGACTGGCAGCCCAGGGCAGATAAATATTAGTTTTCTAATTTTTTAGGGGGCCTGTGGGCCAGATAGAATAGCCTGGTGGGCCACATCTGGCCCGCCGGCTGCATTTTGCCCACTCCTGTGTTAGGGTAAGAAGACAGGTGATCAGAAAGGGCAGAGGAGAGTGGGGTGGAGCTAAGGAGCTATATAATTCTAGTTTCTGGGCTGAATTTTCAATCTGACCCAGACTATGGAAGGTAGAGGAGTTTTCTGAGGGAAGCCTAGGCTGCTGACTAACTCAAGCTGGAAACAGTAGGTGATAAGGTAACCCCAGGGGAGTGGGTGGGATAGCCAGCCAGTAATGGTGTGGTTTTGCTTGGGTTGTATGAACATCCTGAGGGTGGTTAGTTATTTCCTTTGCAAAGTGGATTGTTTTGTTTATTTTTATCTATGAGGCATGGGGTGACTTTGGGGAAGTAGGAAGGACACTGTGGGCACCTAGGGTAAGGTGCTATGAGTTTGGTTATTTGATTTAGTGGAGACTGAGGCTCTGAGAGCCAGAGAGAGTTTCCTATTTATGGACTGTTAATTTGGGGCCCAAGAAAGCCCTGGCTGTAAGCTGAGAGGGCTTACTGAGGCTAATTTAGTTATAGCCCTGCTCAGAGCTGGAGTTAAGACTGGGTCAGACTGAGGTGGCCTAACTGATGAGCAGGGTAGAGTGAGACACCCAAAGTTCCACTCTGGAAGTCTGAGGGCTGCCTCCCAAATTTATATTAATTGACATCATGATGTGACAGGCATGGAGAGATGGAGTGAGAAATAGGCTTAGGGGGGCTGCCAGAGAGTACCATATCTACCTACCAGAGGTGGATGCTTTAACAGCAGATTTAGCTAGGAATCATTCTGGTAGGGAGTTACCCAGAATTTTGTGCTTCCAGAGCACCCTGGTCATTGCCCACAGGCTGAACTCTGTGCAGAACCCTTCAGCCACTGTTTTTGTGCCCCTCTGGCTTCCCATTCTTATCAGGTTTGGCACACACCTTTTCTACCTTCAAGGATTTGCAGTGGAGGATGCATCTCCTGTTCAGGATAATAGAGCAGGGACGTGTAGACTATTTTCAATCAATGCTGTCTAAACATACTAGACTTCCCATCTGTTACTATGCTAAAATTTTAATAGACTTGCTGTCAGTTTTTGGGTAAATGACTCCCAAAGGCTGGAAGGCGTATTGGGGAATAGTCACTGACACATCCTGCTGAGTAGATTGGCTGAGTTTTAGACCAGGCTGTATAGCCACATAGGAGATACAGCCCTCCAGAACAGATTATGTTTGGTGCTGACCCCAAATGGCCTCCTTTCCAACACAGACCCATCCTGGTGACTGAAAATCACAAGCCAGCAGGCAAGGGTGCTTCTAATATACTAGGCATCTGTTGCTTATCTTTGTGGAAGCAAGCATGTCAGCTGAGAATGAACACTGGAGAGGGAGAGAATTGATTTCTATTATTACACAAAGTTAATTTTAGGAACTCTGTCTTCTTTATCCCAATGGGCATGTTCCCCCATGACACCCCTCTAAGGACATATAGAACAATCTGCCTGTATTTGTCTTAATCATCTCTCTTTTCAGAGTGGGTACCGCCCAACTTGGAGCCATTTTACCAGCTCACAGGGAATGAGAAGGCACCAGAGATTGTAGGAGAGGAAAAAGGAACAGTTGTTTACCACATAAATCCAGGTATGTACTCGTGTGAAATTCCCAACTTCAGCTATGGAGACTAAGACATGAAGGTAACCCTGGGTCAAATCCAAAGCCCAAAGGAGTTAGTTGGAAAAGCTCCTGTCAACATATATAGGCTTTGGATTTGCTTACAAAAGGGAAAGTCATTGGACAAACTTTTATACAGTACATTTAACAAGCCTTTGGTTGAACTCTCTCTAAATGAGTGAAAGTCGTTTGATGCGTCACCCTCCTCAGTCCTAGTTCATAAAGAAGAAGCAGGCCTACAAGCTTCAAGGTAGCACTGATTCCTAAGCTACAACATTTGGGTACAAATGTTCCTGTGACAGGTCTCATGCCTTCCTTGAGAGGTGACTGCCTAGCCTGATGCATCCCACTGTCAAGGAGTGAAAGTCTGTCCTCCTGCAACAGGATGCCAATTCTGTATCTTAGCCCTTAAGCATCTTGCAGTGTGCTGGGCACCTGGGCTGTCAGTTGGTGTCCAATAACGTCTGGTTATCAGAGCTCAATTCTCTTCCTGGTTTCCTGAAAACGTGAGTTACCACTACTCCCAACAGAGGAGGCTGAGATCTAGCAGGAGCTCAGAGTCCCACAGTAGCTCAGTTTGCCTTGAAAAGGTTCTTGTCTTCATCTTCTCTACCAGTTGACTACTACTGGAGGCACCAACTTTGGCAAACCAGTCCTAAAAAAAATAGCTCTGCCCTCATAACAAACTCTTCTGATCCTTTGGTGCTGGGCTAGTGCTTTTCTTTGTGAAATGCCAGCTCTTGCATGGCAATACCAGGTCTACTTCATGTTGTGCCTCTCGGGGTTTGGCAGCAGGACCGCCATGGGGATTTTGCAGCCCTTTGCAAAGTAGTCCTGACACAGGCTCTGGTTCTCTTAGTGCAGTTAATTTGTATGCAGTATTAAAGCCCCATTACATGCAGGGCCAGTAGCTGGAGTATGCAGAATCCTTTTCAGATTTGAGCTCTATTCCCTTTCTGATCCTGAGAGGGGAGGCCAACATGATACTGTTGTTAGATCACGATCCACTGACATCCTGCCACGTTAGAGAAGTGGAATAGTTAGTATCTTTGAGTGACCGGTTAGGCACTTGAAACACGTGAAGCCTCCTTCCAGCTCTGCTGCTGATGTGCAGGGTGGGCTTGGTCACACTGCTTCATCACTCTATGCCTCCCAGTTCTGAAATGGCACTGAGCTGTTTGTAGAGCACTGAGAACTGCAGCTGGAAAACACTAATGACTACCATTTATTAATGCTGTGGAATTATGGGCTTGGGGAATGTTTGCTCAATTGGTGGCAGGTGCTTTCACCCTTAGAACAAAAGGGTTCCCTGCAATGGAATAGGGCAGAGCCCAAGTCACCACAGCAGTAGATTACCCTCACTACTCTGGACCACAGAGTGGGAGAGGCTGAACAGGGGCCATGTTGGGAAGAACTAGGGATTGGCTTCAGTATGGTTGCCTTGGAGCTGGCAGTAGGAACTGAGGCCTTGCTACTGGGTGCCCTGTGACTAACATATCTCTTCTCCTGGCAGCAGCCAAAGGCACCTGCTTTACCTGTGCCCGGGTTGGAGGTACTCGAGGGCCTGTCAGGTCACCTGCAGTTACCTTGGAAGGCCCAGAGGACACCACTCTGCTCTTTGAATCACGGTTTGAGAGCGGGAACCTCCAGAAAGCTGTCAGAGTGTGAGTGGGAGTAGTTGGGAGGCACTCTGGGTGTGCTTGCTGGGCAGGGGGGCGTTCTGGCTAAGCCAGGGGTGTTCCGTCTCCAGGATGGGAGGAAGTTAAGGGTGTCCTTGGTGGACTGCGGTCTTTTGCCTAAGCCAGGTTGCCCAGTGCTGTCCCTGGAGGATGACTGCTAAAAAGGAAATATGCAGGTGAAGAGGATTGGGCGTCTCTAGGTATTGCATTTCACAGCAGTCACACACAAGCATTGAATTAATTCCTGTTGCCACAGAGAATAGGTGGTAGCACAGTTTCATTCCCCACCATCCCACTCCTCCCCCCCCAAAAGAGAGAGAATGGAGGGACAGGTGCTTTGAACTGATGCTGCTTCATTCCTGCCGCAGTAGCACCATCACTGTCTGCCTGTTGCACTGAGGGCAGGAGCACTTGCTGTCTCATGGCCAGCCTCCCTGATGGGCTGTGGGAGCCCTAGGACTAGAGCCCATGACTTATGGTGCAGTCCAAGGAAAAGACATCTGCCCTTCCCCACAACCCCTGGTTTTAGATGCCTGATTCTCTTCTCCCAGCCCAAGTCACAGTTGCCTGGGGGTTGTTCTGATTATTGCCAGCTGGTAATGGTCACACAAATAGTGCCTCCATGTTCCATGGACTATAGGAAGTGAAGCTCCAGGATGCTCCTGTACACAGAGTGAGGGAAGGATCCTTTAAGAATAATAGCATGTGCTCATAATTTTATAGACTGCACCATAAAGCAGACACACAGAATGTCAGAGTGAAAGGCACAAAAGCACCTTCTGAACCTGGCAATTCCTAACTTTCCAAGGTTTGACTCCGTCACTTAAATAGTATCTTTTGGATAGAGGGTTTTTTTGTGGTTTGCATATAATTGGATTTGCCAGTAACAAAAGTGCTCAAAGATCTGTTTTCCCCACCACAAATCACTGGCTCCAGAGAGGAGGGGGGAAATCTTAAGCCTGGTATGTACCACAAAGATTTGCTGTCAGGAGCCAACCAGGACATGGCAATCAGGGCTTGATTCTAGAGGATCACAACTCAGGGGATCAGGAGCAAACATTATCTAGACCAGGGTTATAAGTCAGGGATTCAGAAACAAGTGGGTCAGGAGGTTGAAAGAAGGCTTTTAAGGACACTTATACATGTGCTCTAGGGCAGGGGGAGCACTTTAATTAAAGCACCCAGAGCATCTTGTGCATCAGCATCCTCACACTTAAAAGTGGTGGCAGGGGCACTTTAGTTAAAGCTCACTGAACAGGCTTTAGTTAAAGCGCCCCCACCACCATTTTTAAGCATGGGGATGGTGATACACAAGATGCTGGAGTCTACTGGAGCATGGTAATTACAGCCTCATTGCTTATGTATAGGTGCCCTAAGGGAGTAAGATACAGGTACTGAGATAGAGTCATGAGCCACAGTTGGTCAGGGACAGGAAGTGTTGGGATCCAGACTGCAGTCATTGACCAAGGATCCAGAGCAGGCGGCTTCAGTTGTAAAGGACTGAACTGTGGGTGGTCCCCAAACTAAAGCCATAAACCAGGAGGTGGCTGTCAAAAGACAGGGGTGTGGACTGGAGTCAGAAATGTAGAGATCAAAATCCAGCAAGTCTGGAGCAAAGGGATCTAAGCTGGAGCCTGGAAGAAGTTGTTTGCAGGCAGGAACTAGAAACAGGGAAACTAGAACTCAACTGGCAAGAGCCAGGAAACTAGCATAAGGAGTTGGAAGCCCAAGGCTAGACGGAGAATTCTCCTTCCCATTGACTAACAGGCTAGGCACTGAAAACTGCTATATATAAGCAGACAGCCATGCCCATGCAGGTAACGGGTCAGCTGGGATACTTGGGCCACTGGCAGGCAGGGCCATTCAAGTAACCAAGGCAAGCTGTGGCTACTTAGCTTGACTGATTCCCTGACTACTGACATTTGCTAGCTAGTTGCTACAGCTTGCCACGTTCCACAGTGACAATTTTGCTGACAAATCCCTCCCATCTGAACACAGCTGTGCTGTGGGGCATGCTTTTCTTGGCTCAGCTTGTGTTGCTCTGAAGGTGGAGTATGGAAACCAGTCAAAAACCCCATTCTGTTTGCATATGTTCCATTTCCACTAGGGGGTTCTGCCTCTGAAAGGATATTGCCCTTCCTCAAGAAAAGCTGCCAAAGCTAGGCCAGTATATCCTATCGTGTTTCTCTGTGCAACCTTATCTTTCCTTGGCATGGCTGTTTCTTTGGCAGAAGTTGCTGCTGCATTTTTAAGTACTTCTTTCTTTCTTTCTCTCTCTCTCTCTTTTCCTCTCTCCCCATCCCCCTTCCCCTGTTCTAGTGGTCCCTATGACTATGAACTGACACTGCGGACAGACCTCTACACCAGTAAACACACCCAGTGGTTCTACTTCCGAGTTAGGAACATGAGGAAGGATATCCTGTATCGCTTCACAATTGTCAATCTCATGAAGCCCAAGAGCCTGTACAGCATGGGCATGAAGCCCCTCCTGTACTCTGAGAGGGATGCCCAGACCAACAGCATTGGCTGGAGGAGAGAGGGGGCCGACATCTGCTACTATCGATGCAGTTCCAAGGAGAAGCAGGCCACATATTGTTTAACCTGGACTGTGCACTTCCCACATGACCATGACACATGCTACTTTGCCCACTCTTACCCCTACACTTACTCGGACCTGCAGCGCTACCTGCTGGCAATGACCAATGACACAGTCTACTCACAGTACTGCAAGCTCCGGGCTCTGTGCCAGAGCCTGGCAGGCAACACTGTCTACCTCCTTACCATTACCAGCCCCTCCAGGAACCCTGATGAGGCTGCTGCCAAGAAGGCTGTGGTGCTGAGTGCCAGGGTTCACCCTGGAGAAACCAGTGGCTCATGGGTGATGCGAGGCTTCCTTGATTTTATCCTGAGCAATGCCCCTGATGCTCAGCTCCTAAGGGAGCTCTTTATATTTAAGGTGGTGCCCATGCTGAACCCAGATGGTGTGATTGTGGGGAACTATCGCTGCTCTCTGGCTGGGCGGGACCTGAACAGAAACTACATGACAATACTGAAGGAGTCCTTTCCCTGCATTTGGCATACCCGTGCCATGATCAAGAGGTGAGAGGGATGGGAGAGTATGAATAGCTGCTTGGAGTGTGGTGCACAGGAGCAGAGCAGAGTACTGGCTCTGGCTAAATAAGCCCAGAACATAGTGGGACAACAGTAACCTCCACCATTCAGTTAGTTAGGGTTGTTCAGCTGGATGATAACGGCAGTGTGCGCTAGTGGGTACAGCCTTGGGCTGGCTCAGAACATCTAGGTTTTATTCCTGGATTTGCTACTGTTTTGCTTGGTGGCTTTAGACAATTCCTTGGCTCCTCCCCGTGCTTCAGTAAAACAGGAATAATGACCCAGTTCTCCCATGGAGAGCATGTTGGGATCTATGGGAAAACATACCACTTAAGAACTAGTATTTCTGTTCAAGAGGGAGAGAATATATTCAAAAGCACCGAGTTAAGAGAACAGAATGAATGTTGTGGAGTCAGTCAGTCCAGAAGGAGGAAATGACAAATGAAGGCTGCACGCACTCAGTGGGGCAGAGGCAAGATGGCCAGTACCTATGCGCTTGCTTTGGTGCTCATCCCTGAACTGTGCAAACTAGTGAATCTACTTTCCCAGCTCTCTGGTGACCTGAGACAGCATTATGACCCCTAATTCACAAAGAGGGATGCTGAAGCACAGAGGGATTGCAGGTCAATGTGCCAAGGTATGCATTAACTTTGGCGGTCAACAGAAAGAGATCTGGAACATTCTAGAAGTGCTGAGCATCCTCAGTTCTATTTGACTAACTATGGTTGTGAGTACTCAGCACTGAAAAATTAGGCCCCTGTATCTTGGCTGGGCACTCAGAAAATGGGGAATGACCAATTAATGACATGTGCAAAACTTGATTAAAACAACTGATTCAACATCATCATATTAATTTTTCTTCCTGCACTTTGCCTTATTCATGGTACAATTTCAGAAATGTTCAGTAAGTGAGGTGGAGGCACTATAGATGACAGCTTCCTCCTTTGCCTCATTAGTGTGCATCATCCAGCCTGGGCGCTGAGCAAGTCAGAGGAAAGAGTCAGCAGGAGGTCAGGAAATTAATTTATAGTTCAGACACACAAGGGGCAAAATTAAGACACTTCCTAGCTTTTGAATACTTGACTTAATGATGTCTTTTTAAGTATGTATATATTTAATTTCATAGTTTAAAAATGTAAGTAAATTAAATTATTACATGGAGACCTGTAATGGTTCATCGCCTACGTCATCAAAGGAGTTTGAACTCTGGCAGCTCTTCTTTGGTTGAAAATTTTGTGGATCTATCCTTGGACTTGCAACACTGGAGCAGAGACCTCTGATAAAGGAGGAGCTATAGTAGAGATAATATCAGTATCTGCCTGATATCAGTATATGCCTGTCTTGAGACAGGAACACATGACACAAAGCTGTATGTTAGCCCTATCTTACAGACAATACAGCTGGCATAATCTTTGATTGGGGCAAACTTGGGTTCTTTCTCCATCTTTATCAGAAGTGATTTTGTGCAAATTTTTAGTTATTTTTTAAGTAAAATGAGGGGAGATGATAATTGCCTTTCTCTGAGGCTGAGGGTTTAAGTCGCTGTACATAGGAAGTATCATATTGGATCAGACCAGTGGTCCATCTAGCTCAGTAACCTGTCTCTGACAGTGGCAGTAGTAGATGCTGTAGAGGAAGAGTATATGAATAGAGCATATCTAGAATGATCTATCCTCTGTCATACCCATCATAGCATCCACCATCATTGATTTAGGGATGCCAGAGGATACACCCTTGACCATTTTGTTTGATGGCTATTAATAGAACTTTTCTCCATACATTTGTCTAATCCCTTATTGAACCTTGTTATACTCTGTGCTTTTACAACCCCTTGTGGCAGCGGGTTGGACAAGTTAACAACGCCCTGCATGAAAAACCATTTCCTCTTGGTTGTCTTAACCCTGTCTCCTGTTAATTTCAATCAGTGCCACCTATTTCTAGAATAACCATTCCCTGTTCACTTAATCCACACTCTGCATGATTTTATAGAGTTCTATCATACTCCCTACCAGCATTCTCCTTTCCAGATTGAAGAATCCTAGCCTCTTCTGGTAGCCTCTTCTTGAAGGGTCCTAGTTTCTTCTGCTGTGGCAGTTGCTCCATACCCCAATTATCTTTCCCCTTCTCTATTCCTATTCTAATTCCACTACATCCTTTTTGATATGTGGAAGCCAGAACTACACAAAAGACTCAAAATGTGGGTAGACCATGGATTTACACAGTGTCAAGATAATGTTTTACATCATGTTTTCAGTTCACTTAGGATTCCTAACATTTTATTGACTTTTTTGGTTGCTGCTGGAAGTTGAGCTAGTATTTAAGGAACTGTAACAGGGAGGTCTGTCCTGTTAAGCAAAGCTGAAGGGCTGCAGCAGTGGAAAGGATGATGAGGGCATGGCTCACTGGGAATAAAACCCCCCAGCATACAGAACCAGGTGGAGGAGTGGAGGAGAAGCACCAGAGACAGGAAATGTCTAGGCTATGAGGAGGACAAGCCTGGGTAGGAAGGCTGAAGCCACAGCAGATCCCTCCCAGGGTTCAGGACAATATAGTTTCATAGTAGGTAGGGTCAGGAGGGACCTGAACAGATCATCTATCCTGACCCCCTGCCACAGGCAGGAATGAATGGTGGGTTCACAAGACCAGGAACTGAGGCCTTGCTACTGGGTGCCCTGTGACTAACATATCTCTTCTCCTGGCAGCAGCCAAAGGCACCTGCTTTACCTGTGCCCGGGTTGGAGGTACTCGAGGGCCTGTCAGGTCACCTGCAGTTACCTTGGAAGGCCCAGAGGACACCACTCTGCTCTTTGAATCACGGTTTGAGAGCGGGAACCTCCAGAAAGCTGTCAGAGTGTGAGTGGGAGTAGTTGGGAGGCACTCTGGGTGTGCTTGCTGGGCAGGGGGGCGTTCTGGCTAAGCCAGGGGTGTTCCGTCTCCAGGATGGGAGGAAGTTAAGGGTGTCCTTGGTGGACTGCGGTCTTTTGCCTAAGCCAGGTTGCCCAGTGCTGTCCCTGGAGGATGACTGCTAAAAAGGAAATATGCAGGTGAAGAGGATTGGGCGTCTCTAGGTATTGCATTTCACAGCAGTCACACACAAGCATTGAATTAATTCCTGTTGCCACAGAGAATAGGTGGTAGCACAGTTTCATTCCCCACCATCCCACTCCTCCCCCCCCAAAAGAGAGAGAATGGAGGGACAGGTGCTTTGAACTGATGCTGCTTCATTCCTGCCGCAGTAGCACCATCACTGTCTGCCTGTTGCACTGAGGGCAGGAGCACTTGCTGTCTCATGGCCAGCCTCCCTGATGGGCTGTGGGAGCCCTAGGACTAGAGCCCATGACTTATGGTGCAGTCCAAGGAAAAGACATCTGCCCTTCCCCACAACCCCTGGTTTTAGATGCCTGATTCTCTTCTCCCAGCCCAAGTCACAGTTGCCTGGGGGTTGTTCTGATTATTGCCAGCTGGTAATGGTCACACAAATAGTGCCTCCATGTTCCATGGACTATAGGAAGTGAAGCTCCAGGATGCTCCTGTACACAGAGTGAGGGAAGGATCCTTTAAGAATAATAGCATGTGCTCATAATTTTATAGACTGCACCATAAAGCAGACACACAGAATGTCAGAGTGAAAGGCACAAAAGCACCTTCTGAACCTGGCAATTCCTAACTTTCCAAGGTTTGACTCCGTCACTTAAATAGTATCTTTTGGATAGAGGGTTTTTTTGTGGTTTGCATATAATTGGATTTGCCAGTAACAAAAGTGCTCAAAGATCTGTTTTCCCCACCACAAATCACTGGCTCCAGAGAGGAGGGGGGAAATCTTAAGCCTGGTATGTACCACAAAGATTTGCTGTCAGGAGCCAACCAGGACATGGCAATCAGGGCTTGATTCTAGAGGATCACAACTCAGGGGATCAGGAGCAAACATTATCTAGACCAGGGTTATAAGTCAGGGATTCAGAAACAAGTGGGTCAGGAGGTTGAAAGAAGGCTTTTAAGGACACTTATACATGTGCTCTAGGGCAGGGGGAGCACTTTAATTAAAGCACCCAGAGCATCTTGTGCATCAGCATCCTCACACTTAAAAGTGGTGGCAGGGGCACTTTAGTTAAAGCTCACTGAACAGGCTTTAGTTAAAGCGCCCCCACCACCATTTTTAAGCATGGGGATGGTGATACACAAGATGCTGGAGTCTACTGGAGCATGGTAATTACAGCCTCATTGCTTATGTATAGGTGCCCTAAGGGAGTAAGATACAGGTACTGAGATAGAGTCATGAGCCACAGTTGGTCAGGGACAGGAAGTGTTGGGATCCAGACTGCAGTCATTGACCAAGGATCCAGAGCAGGCGGCTTCAGTTGTAAAGGACTGAACTGTGGGTGGTCCCCAAACTAAAGCCATAAACCAGGAGGTGGCTGTCAAAAGACAGGGGTGTGGACTGGAGTCAGAAATGTAGAGATCAAAATCCAGCAAGTCTGGAGCAAAGGGATCTAAGCTGGAGCCTGGAAGAAGTTGTTTGCAGGCAGGAACTAGAAACAGGGAAACTAGAACTCAACTGGCAAGAGCCAGGAAACTAGCATAAGGAGTTGGAAGCCCAAGGCTAGACGGAGAATTCTCCTTCCCATTGACTAACAGGCTAGGCACTGAAAACTGCTATATATAAGCAGACAGCCATGCCCATGCAGGTAACGGGTCAGCTGGGATACTTGGGCCACTGGCAGGCAGGGCCATTCAAGTAACCAAGGCAAGCTGTGGCTACTTAGCTTGACTGATTCCCTGACTACTGACATTTGCTAGCTAGTTGCTACAGCTTGCCACGTTCCACAGTGACAATTTTGCTGACAAATCCCTCCCATCTGAACACAGCTGTGCTGTGGGGCATGCTTTTCTTGGCTCAGCTTGTGTTGCTCTGAAGGTGGAGTATGGAAACCAGTCAAAAACCCCATTCTGTTTGCATATGTTCCATTTCCACTAGGGGGTTCTGCCTC